GGTACAAGAGGAGAGAGGCTGACCACTTCTGATAGTCCATCAACACCACCGTTTTAAAAAGCTCTGCCAGGACTGGCTGAGTGATGGCAGTTTCATCAGCAAAGTTCAGAATTTCCTTCAGAGGAAAACTTGAGTCTGACTTTTTGAACTTCCAGGCTACTGGGCTGAGCAGAGTGAAAACAATTGGTTAGAGACATCATGCTTGGACCTAAGGGACAGATGGCTCTGAACTATGCCAGAGAATTATGATAAGGCATTCAGGCTGCATACCATGATTTTTTTTTTTTCTATTTGTTTCTTTTTAATTATTGTTCTTGCTCTACCATTTGTTCTCAGTCTCACTTGCTTTTCATTGTTTCTCAGTAACAGAGGGTATACAAGACATTCTGCTGGAAACCTGGGGCCACTTAATCAGCAGACATAAGCTGAGTTCAACTCACATTCACGGACAATGTCCTCCTAGAGCACAAACATACAAACTGAAGGCAAGTTGGATGCCTCTTGGATGTTATGCATTCTCAGAGGCTTTCACTAGTGCCCATTCAACGGCAACTCTCTTTTTAAAGCATATGCTGTACAAAAAAGAATCCTAAAGGCAACTTAACAGCAAAATTAAAAAACTACACAGATTATACTCCTAATGCAAGGGAATGGATTAACTTAACTTTCAACTCCTGCCGCTTAATGTTGATTTAATATATTGACTTGACTTTTAATAAGGTTATTGAAAGATAAAAGCATATAAGGAGCTGTGCTACAGATGCGACACTCAGAACTTCATATGCAAAAATAAAAAGAGACATTATAATAAAATGAAAATTGAATGTTGCTTGTATAAAATCTGGCTTTGTTTTGACGCATAAAACAGCAAACACTGTTCCACACTGAGGTTTTCAAGAATGTCTTAAGTATACAACGCTTCTGATGCCACCCCAGTTGCCTATATATAGATCTGTCTTGTGTAAAGAATTTAAAAAGCATTAGAATGGAGAAATCAAAGAGACAATAAATTTTAAACCAATCTTATTGTCTGCAGCCTAAAGTGTTATTAAGATCAAAGTGGAGCACACATCTGGCATTTGCCTTTCTGCAAAAATTAGATCAAATTACCTACCATAGGGTTTAGAGACATTCAGTAAGTTCTTTCCATTGTACACATAGTTTTCTTTCTCCTTTATATTTGCTACATCTAACTTAACACCCAAATTCTAGCCTCTTCATTCATGTGGAGTTGAAACAAATTAACATCAAAAATGGAAATATATGTTCCTCATGAACAGCTGTTTCCTAAGGAACATCCAAGGTCCTTCAGATCCTAAGGAGAGAGATTCAGCTAGCCTTTGTCTTTGCCATCACGTGTAATTGTCTAGAAATAGTTACTGAGTACACACAACCCTGCCCCCTTCCTTGAAAAACATTTTTTATGCTTATGGCTGCAATTATTTTCATTGTTGACTTTATTCTATGTTAAGCACTCAAAGTCTGTTGTTAAACTATGAACAAACTGGCCCATACTGTTACGTATAAACTTATCAAATGTACTTTTCCAGACTTCTAAATATACCTAATACATTCCTAGGCTTTTGATACCTTTGTTTAGAGAGATAGCTAAATGTATGTTATATCTATATAACACAATCTTTTAATTCTCTAAATAGAAGAATACATTAACACAAAGCTAAGACTGAGAATGCGTTGCTTCTTAAAAACACAAAAGACTGCGCCTTTATGCTTTAACAAACTAATTACAAAACAGAAATTCAGTAAAGTTTAAAGGAAAAAGAATATTAAGGCCTGCAAATTCATCATTAAATAAATCAAACAAACTTAACAGTGCTCTGTAGCGATGCCATGAAGTAACTATAAAATTACGATTAATGAATTTGAGTGTTGCTGTCCCAGATGAGCTGTGACACATTAATTCTTTCCAATTGCTTTCTTGCTGGAATCCATATTGATATCACTGGACAGAAGGATAAGATATAGTTCTCAATTATTCTAGAGAGAGATGGAGAAATTATTTTAACCTTTGTTCTTTTGATCTCTTGTAATATGAATTGGAATATGGCTGTTTCCATAAGGCATTCTTTAAAAAAGAAATGCAAACATGGTGATTTCAAATTTGATTTGCAGAACTTTAATTGGGAGTCAGTGTAACTTCTCCATTTGATTCATCCCCAAACTATGTTATTTACATCTGTATCACAGCAAGGAGAAGTTATTGATCATCACAGCTTAGAAGTTTGGGGTCTTTAATGCAATCCCAAACCTTCTTCTTTTATGTCAATATATAATTTGATCCTCCTATCTTGCTCCTTGTGCATTTGAAAAAGGCAGATTATTGATTTTGTTTTCAGTATTTTTAGGAAATAATAGGAAAGGGAGCAAGTGACAAAATTTCTGTTCTCTTCTCCTCAGAGCCATAAAAGCTAGAGGAGGAATTTGGGCAGCCAGAAGCCACACATTGTCAAAGGGCACCTTAAAGTCACCAGCTATATTCCCAGGCAGGCGGTGCAGACAGGCTTCAGATGTTTTTATGAAGCTGCATTAGAAGGTAGCATCAAAAATCTGCACTGGGCTTTGTTATGAGACCTGTGAGTTGCTCTATATTCCTGATTTCAGTCTCATCTGATAAAAAAATAAAGCAAGGCATCTAAATCTTATTATGGTTAATCTTTTTGATATGTTAAGGCCAAGACTGAATGGCTGTTAAAAATACATACCAGTGATATCTATCCCCAGTGTTTTGGCTAAATCCAAATATACATTAATTTTTTCACTCCCTGAAATCTTAAGTTATGCAGATCTCCCTTTCGGAAGACTTAGGTTAGTGCAACCACACAAGTAAGCAGAATGATTCAGAACTAAAACTGGGACCTTCTGCCAGTACTGATTTCTATGTTTCAGTAACTAATGAAGTAGTTTCGAAGGCAGGCTTGAGTTACTTCGAGTGAGTAAGATGTATGGTTTTTAAAAAGCAAAGAAAGAATGTGTAAGGAGATCATGTAAGGAGATCATTGGGTTAAGCAAGCCAGCATTCTCATCTCAGTCTACCAGTGACTAGGTGCTTCTCCTTTAGGAAATGTTTTAGAACTGACAGCTCTAGGTTTACTCCTGTACACTGGATAGCACACAGAAATACCAGTTCCCAAGGGTGCAGATCTCTGGTGCTCCTTTTATTTTTCTTTTCAGGAGAAGGTAAATTACAAGGTTAAATTACTGCATTATTTTTGCGAATGCATTGTCCCCCTTCCCAGCCAGGCGCTGCTGCTGACAGGCAGCTGGAGATGAGCCACAATGCTGTCTGTTCCACTGACCCATCCAGGATGCACCATACCTACTGTGCGCATGTGTCGCTCAGATGTCTTGCACATGCTCAGCAAAACTGACATGCTATTGATGCCTCAGTCCTATAACGTGTGTGCAAATCAACTGCAGAGCACATGGATGACAGAGCACACACAGAAATCCCAAACAGAAATGTAGCCTACCTCACTGGGGAGGGAGACAAAATAGCCTTATTTCTATCTGTGCCCCTGAAAGCTGATTGAGGTGTGTGAATTCTCTCACTATCTTCTTCAGTGTAACAATCTATAAAGCAGTGACGACTTCACAGTGGATGTATCTTCAATTCAAAGCTGGCATGTAGGCCAAATATAAATTATAATGAGTATCTGAACTTGTTAGCAGATAAATAGTAAGACCATGGTACTACAGAGTACTAGAAAGGTAAGTCCAGGAGATTTTTCTCTCTGTTTTAAATGTTCAAATAAATATATATGCGCGTCTTCTCAAGGAAATTTATTCTGTTCAACTGTGCCATATCTCAGAACAAAAAATAGACAATTGCCTTCTAAAAATAATTATTTTAATGTTATTATCCTTTCAGTAAGTTTTGGAAGTGTGAAAAAAGCTGGAAGACTAAACAAAAAAATCCCAAACTTTAAAAGACTCCAAAAAGCCAGTACTACTAGAGTGCTCAGCTCCACTGTTGCAAGAAAGAAGAACAGACTGGATCTTACTGGCACCCTGCTTTTCTAAGCTGGAAATGAGACATCTGACCCTATTCTCTGGTTATCTGTGTGCTCCATGGGAAAACCCTACATGCTGTTCACTTATATGACCGTATACATGACTATATCATTCATTCCTTTGAACTGAAAGGTACATGTCTAAAAATTACTGGGCTTATATCACTGCTCAGAGGTTTATGCGAAATCAAAGATCGTACTCAGTCTGGTTCAGCGAGATGGCGCTCCCTGTCAGAGCAGCCTTCTTCAAAAGGGTAGACAATGCCCCTACTACTGCAGATGGCAAGACTGCAATGAGATCTGCAGTGACCAACCAGGTCCCTAACACATCTGACAATATGGCAGGTTGGAAAGGTAAAACTTATACCACTGCTGCCTATCTCCCACCGCTGGGGAGGAAAGTTCGAAGAAACCTGCTTTCTGTGGCTGCGGTCTTTCCTCAGCCCTGACCTTGCTTAAGTGCTGCCAGCAGGGACAAATCTTCCTGTTCTTTTTTGTAACTATTTTAACCTCTGTCCCCGTTTACAGCTGTATTGTTTAATGTGCTGTATTTGTATGGTGTTCCTTACTCTTTTTTCTAAAAGTGAGAGTAAACCGCTAGCTAGACGTAAAACTGAGCTAAGGTGTAAGGCAGGCGCGCTGACTCCAACTTTAACTCTACAACAATTTCAGGGTGATTTATATCTTGAACTGTCGCTATATGGTTTACAAGGGAAAAGTGTGAGTAAATATTGAGATTTTCCTTCTATAAATTGTGGAAGGGTGAGGGGAAGTGACAGATCTCACTGAAAAACCTTATTGAAGTAGCTGTGTTGAATGATGGTGACATAGCTTGTCTCTGTCTCATTGTCATAATGTAAGCCCTTTTATCATTAGAAGAAACCACAGAAGTCAGGGTAAAGTACAACAGATCCAGACAGAGCTGGTAACTTAAGGAGGAAATGAAAAAAAGTAATGCAACAATAGACATGGGCTGGAGAAGATATTTTATTTATTTGTAACTAGTAGTTAAAATGACGTACAAAATGCTGGGAAGAAAAAACTCCAATTCTATTCAGTTACAAAATAATTAAAACTTCATTTTAAACCAAGTTTTGCTTTGTGAGACCGAGCATGAAAATACTGCAGCCTTAGGTTATATAGTCCATTGTTTTTAGAATAAAGCAGACATTTAAATGGTTGATATTAAATATCTTGTATAATTGTCAGTTAGCAGAACTTTCTTACTCTCAGGCAATAACTAGCAATTCATAGAAGTTCTTTGTATAAAATTTATATACTGGGGGGAGGGAATCTGCCTCAAGGGGAGTCCCATCGTGATCTATGCATGAGCTGTTTTGGAACATAAAAACTAAAACTTCTAAAACTTCTACCAATTTTCCTTCAGAATGCTAGCCTAATCTTAAATAAAGGAGTAAGTAGTGTCTGAAGCTTTGCTTAGTGGCTAAGGGTTTAGGGACAAAGTGGTCACTGTAAAAGACAATGGGAGTTTTGCTGTCAACTTCACACGAAGGGAAAAATTCATTCTTAAGGTGTTCCCATTTCTTCAACAGAAACCCTAGCTAGTACAAAACTTTCAGCAATGAAACTTTCATCAACAACTGGGATTGACCCTTTCCCCTGCAAGCCAACTCAAAAAGGTAATTTAAGTATAAACAACCCCTGCCTGTTATCAGTGAAAGAGGATTTGTATCAATAATAACATTAAATAGCCATATCTTTCTGTTTAACTATTCACATTCCACACAGTGGAAATCTACCTCCAATAATTCCAGATTTTAAAACTGGATTTTAAAATCCTTAAAGAAATGTGTCAAACCTGCTGAGTGAGAATACACCAGATGAAATGCATTTTAATAATATCAATCAATGAGTTGCAATCTCTTAATCTTACAAATGCAGACCTCACAGCAGTGAATATTACAATAAACATATATTAAATTCAGAGGTGCAGGATATTGCCAATAACTGTGTGATGCACTGTGTAACAGCTGGAGCATCTAATATAATGAGGGCACTCGGGATTCACCTGTGACATGCCACTCAATGTGTATTTTTCCCTTTGAGCATATTAGTAAGAGCAGAATTTTCTTCCTTAGTGTTCAGTGGACAGAAATGGTGTCAAGATAACCACCTTGTGGTTGAGAGAGGCATCTGGTGTAGGAGGACAGTTACCCTGACAGTGGATACTGGAGAATATTGCTGCCGACTGGTGAAACTGAGTCCTGGACTATTCAAGTCCCATCATACAATTAATGTGGACCCAATTCCCATTTCACTCTCCTCCATGATGATGTCAGGATTCCTTTCAGGCCTCGTATTGACTCTGGCATAGGAATATGCCTTTCCTTCGGTATCCTATCAGACAGGACCTGCTGCCAGGGCCCTGCAGGCACAGGCACAGGTACCAACATGGACAGGAGAGTGTGCAGCACCTTGTGACCTCTTCAGCACTTGGCTGGAGAGTGCCCTTGCAAAGCCAGCATGCAGGACAGCATGAGCAGCCTGCACTCATACCATGTGGTATGAGATGTGTCCAGTAAGACACCCCCCAGGCTTCTCATCAAGTGCCCAGCAGAACAAGGGCAACATGCCTCTTGGGTTCAATGGCCCAAGGTCCACCTCACTAAAAACAGCTTCTTTTGCAGGACCTTCTGTGCTCTTGCCAAAACCTACAGCCCTCGTCAAGTTTAAGCTTCTAATCCTGAAGGAAAGAGAAGACAGGACAACCTCATAGGTGAGATTTAGCAAGCTGTTGGAAGTATTGTGTCCCCTTTTACATTTTTTTTCCCCCTAAATGAGAGGGGCAGTTAGCCCTTAATTTTCAGGAAATTCTCTTTACTTTGTCCAAATTCAGTTTAAATGCAAGTCTGTGGTAAAAGATATAAAAGAGGATTATTGCTGGCAAAGTTCTGCATCTCTTTTCCAACAAACTGCATGCCTGTGGCAAAGCTAAAATAACAATAACAATGCAATGTTTACTAGTCATGAACGCCGTGTCTTTTGTCTCTTGTGTGGTTATTGCATTTGCAGTCACATGACGCTTGTTTTAATTTTTGCTTTGCTCTTTATGTACTAAATTACTGCCATTTGTACTTGATCTTAATTAGCAAGATTTTTATGCTGTGGTTTATGTATGTTTTTTATGTATGTGTGTGAAAAAGAGGAGAGAGTTCAGTTACACACAATGGAGTATGCATACTCATTGTATGTATGTATAGATATCCATGACTAAAAGATACTGCATGTATATATATGTAGATATGAAGAATAACTGATATCAGAAATACAAGACATCAAATGGATCTAGTGGCACAAAAATGGGTTTTGATTGATTCAGAGAGCCATTAGAATTCAGAAGTGTATTTATAGCCTAGTATATAGTTTCTTTTTAATTTATGTAATATATGACTAGGTATATAAATTAAAGCAAAACATAAACAGAAGACTATCTCTTCCTCTGGATATTCCTGTTTATGTATCTTTCCTTTTTCTACTCCCTTTTGTACTCTCCCCATCTACTTACTTTGGCCTTTTGCTTTCTAACTTGCTGTAGCTCTGTTTTCCATCCTCCTATAGTGACTTTTCAACACTCCCACATCCCCCATTGTTCTCCAGACATGGCTTTTGGACTACAGATCTTTTTTTGAAGAAGCATGTTACAAACTCTTGATACAGCTGCTATTTTCAGTGATGGTTTTGTTACACTTTAAACTGCTTCTTGCCTACTTTGTATGTAAGAATAGATTTATGCTTTTAAATATATTGTCCTCTCACTTTGATGTTTCTCTTAATACAATAAAAGCAAGTAGCACGGCAAGTGAACATGAGCAAAAGCCACAGCTCCACTTTCCCAGCAAGCGGCAAAAATGTGAATATACACTAGGAAAGCTAATTCATGACTGCAGGTAAACAGATTTTTTTTAATATTTCCTACCTCTGTTAATTTCTTTTTGTTGTAGTGAACATTCATAGATTTGCTTGCACACATCCATTTTTTCACTTACACACAAACACACACATGCATGCCCTTTCTTTACATTGATATTTTTTTCTTTTTGTGTGTGTGTGTGTGGTTTTTTTTTACTTGTTTTAGGTAATTTGCTAGGTTGCTCTCAGTTTTGCCAAGCCCTGAAGGCATGCTTGTTCATGCTGCTCACTCTCACACTGGCAATGATTGCTTACAGTCAGAGTGCAATCACTACATTTGTCTCAGTTCAGTCCAAGTCAATAGATATACACCGGCATTCCTTAACTCGGGTGATTCTTTTCTTCTTTCTTGGGGGCTGAAGCTCAGGGCAATTGAGTGTAACAGTCATGGTTGTGAATTTCTTGGGCTTGCAGAAGGAACAAGATTGGAAGGAGCCTTCTTCTTTACGGACATGCCTGGGGATGTAGAAGGAATTGCACTGGCCATAGCAGAACCTGTTGATAATGGTACGACTGTTGCAGCCTTCTTCATGGATAGTTTGTTTGAGGGGTTGAGTTTTACACCAATCCCGTTTTAGGTATTTGCGCTCAGTGATGTGCAATGCCTCCTGACTAGATTCTAGCACCTCTTCTGCAGGCATCGAAGTGCCTTTTCCTCGTTCTCGATGCCTAGAACCCGACGGCTGCTGTGTCTGTATTTGCTCTGAATCATTGGGCTGATCTTTGTCAGGAGGAGGGATAGCACCTTGAGATCCACGGTTCCTCTTTCTCCCTTCTGCTGTTGGTAGCAGAAATCCCATCAGAAGAAACACAGCACCGATGGCGTACAGTGTGCGGACCATCCTATATGGAGGAAGTTGAGGGAATAAAGCACAGTTGTGGATTTCAGATATCAACAGAAGACAGACATGCAGTATATTTTCACTTCCATAAAAGAAATAGGGGGAGGGGGGTGTGGGGGTGTGTGTGCAAACACACATTTACAAAAGATAAGCATTAGCTTTTACCAGCTGGAAAGCAATTTCCAAATTACCAAGTGATAAAAGCTTTCATATACAGTCATTGAAAGTAGGAGGCTAAAGCAAGTCTAAAGAGAATTCTATTTTGTGTATCATGCACCTTTTTTCATCACTTTTCTCCGTGTATACTACTCTAGTTAAGAGTTCTCATTCTCTTCTTGTACCTCATTGACATTAGGAAGATTACTCCCAACTTAACACTGGTGGAAGAGCAGATTTTATGCTACACGAGGATTTGTATGAAATAGCTGTCTACAATACCAGAGAACTAAACACTTTGACTCAAGGGATCTAGTCTAGCTGTGTGTTCCTAAGTCAGTCTCAGAAGTTTTGTACAGCTTCTTGCACAATATACATCCAGAAGACAATGTGCATGCTATATCCACCTGTTGTCTGAATTACAGCATCCCAAGCTCAGTCACGCCGCACCTCTGAAATGGTCCAATGTGTCTGAGTGTAATGCTGCTTAAGGTAAGAAATATGCAACAAGACACGCAACTAACATTAATGAACATGTAGATATATGTTAAAAGAGATACATCTGTAATTTCAAATTACACAAATTCTCTCACATTACTCTGAATCTTTGACAGAAATTATACAGATGTAGTCACGGTGTTAAGAATTTTTCAGATCTCTGAATTTTATTCATTATATACAGCAAGATATTGAAAGGAACATATGAGGACAACAGAATTCAATATACGACACTAAACGTCATGTAGTTCATGCATTCAAGAAAACCCACTTTGAGAAGTGCAGTAAGTGGATACTATGAGGTTCTTAAAACTGCACCCCTGCTCCAAACCTAATTAATAGCACAAGAACAGCCTTTCTTTCCTCTCTTATTCCACCATTTCTGCTGCTTCCCAAAGCTCTGAGTTCTTTTGGCTGCTCAGTTAGACACCAACCAGCCAGAAGACTCATCACCTGTCACACTTTTCCCCCTTCCAGAAGTGCCATGGTTTCCATGTTGTTCTGGAAAGCTGGGGTTGTGGCAAGCAAGACAAACAGATCAGGGAAAAAAGCTCGCAAGGGACCCTCCCAGTGGGAGCTTGGAAGAAGCCACCAGAAAAGAACTACTGCTTGCAAAAAAACTGTAAAAAAGGAGACCTGCCAAGAGGCACATGCATTAAAAAGGGAAGAACTGTGAAAAATATACATACATAAAAACAAACAGACAAACAAACATACAAGCCCCAAACAACTTGGGTAGTTTGGGATGTCTTCTACCTGCTTGGAGTGCTGCAGTTATATCCCTTATTTGGCTTGTTTTATCAGTAAGGGGGAAATTAGTGATTGAACTGAAGAGTCCTGCTTGTGCTACTATCCAAGAAACATGGGAAACCAAGGGCACCATGCTGGATGGCTTTACCCGCTCTGCCCAAGACCACACAACTAGGCAGGAAAGCAGCCAAATGCCAATGCTGTAAGGGCCACCTAGAGACTCAGCAGAGGCTCAGGGTGGAGCCTATTTGCTAGAAAAGATATCTGTTATTTTCTCAATTACTAGTCTTCCCAGTCATACGGAGAAAATAAGCATTAGATTATGCTGTTCAAAAAGCATTTCTTACCAAATGGACTGGGAAAGGAATTACTGGAGTGGAAGAGTATCACAGGGAGTTTCCAATGTATTCAGGAATTTGCTTGTGGATTTAATATTTTAAGTGTTTGTCTACAGATTGTTAGAGCACCTAGAGTTAATCATATGTATGATAAATATATGCTTTTGGTTTATTCATTTATGTTTCTGTACCAGTATGCCCTATGTTTGTCAGAAACTTCAGGCTTCAAGCAAGGGGTGCAAGAATGACACTGCTGCCGACTCCAGTGGACAACTTGGAAGGGCTGCTTTTAATATCTAAATGAAACATGGAATTCTAATAGCCCTAAGGCTCTGAAATAGAACAACAACAACAAAAAAAAAAGTTGGGAATTCTAACAGAAGACTAGTGTAACACAATTTCAAGTGTCAGCTTGGACTTCACATTTGCTTTCTTTCCCTATTTCTACGCAACCTGAATGTTATTTAAACATGCTTCTTTTGAAACTTAATTTTCCTTTTTTTTTTAAAAAAAAAAAAAGTTATTGCATGCAATTGAAAATAGATTGCTAGTTTATAAGCAGTGCCAGCATGCTTCAGGTGTTTGCTTAGTGTCCCATAACTGAGTTGAAGTTCTACCAACAAACATATTCCTGGACTATTTTTATTTTTAAAACTGATGACCTCCACATTGTTTCATCTTTCTCTCTCTACCCCCTGCCATAAACATGCAATTGATGACACAATAAGGTCTAATCATGGGAAAATGAGGTGTACTTTGAGATGGGAATTTAGAGGAAATTTGATGGTATACTGTTGTAATATCTGTATTGCAGATTCATGAATGATTAATAAGCACGTGCTTAACCCTAAGGAAATGCAAGCATGTGTTTCAGTATAATCCTAAATTTCAGGAGGCAATTTTTCACTGAGTTGGTTTCCAGCCTTAAATGTGGAAGCTATATCACATGCTCATTAAAGAGACTGTGATTCAAATGGAAATTAGCAACTCAGCAAAAACGTTTGTTATGGTCCCTTCCAAAACACACATCTAAAAGTACAAATAATCCAATCATTTAGGGATAAATACAGTTTAAACATAGACCCATCAAAAAGGTTGTGTGAACTTCATGACCCCCACAGCAGCTCAAAAAGGACCTTCTTTTTATAGAGACTTACTAAACATATATTAACAACAACAACAAAAAAAGGATTATTTTTAAAAAATGGAAAATATGAAGGAGAATGAGGGGGCATGCCTCAGCAAGGAAAGCAGCCACTCTGCACCATCTCTGGTCCCAAGGCAAGCCATTTGCTTGCAAGAGAAGACGACACTTCTATTTGCTTACATTAGGAACTAGAGTGGTCCATCCATCTATGAATTAATGTTTATGAATGTTTCCTTAGCAGGCTTTTATTAGTAAAAAAAAAAAATTAAAAAAAAATAGAATGCAGAACAGTACAGGTAGCTAAATCAGTGTTACCATACCCAAAGTTCTACCAAAAAGAAATCTCTCCCTAGCATATTTTTTTTTTTTCCTTGTCACAGTCATAACTCTGCAGAAATAATAACTCTGGAGCTTGGGTAGGATCTGTGAGGAATCAGGCTGCAAAAGCTTATATCCCAGATTTCAGCAAAATTTTCAGTACCTGATACTGGCTGTTACACTGGCATAGCCAGAAATCCTTTTGAAGATCCATTTGAGAAGCCTTTGAACAAACAGATGACTATAACCAAAATTATCGATTCCCCCTTACTTTGTTCAGAGAGATCTGATAGAATTAATATTTTTTTAAAGTTACAAAATACTTCAAAAATCTATTTTCTTCATATTTCACTGCTAAAATGAGTTCTACTGTTCATCTGTAAATTCTTAGTCCTAAAGCCAAAAGAAGTTTTATTGCTGACTTCAAACAGGAGCAGAATTGGGCCCTAACATTCATATCACTTCATATGTGGTTTATCTAGAGCCTGGGATCTCATCATCTAAAACAGATTAGAAATCTGGTGGATTAACACTAGGAACTGTTTCTAGAGAAGTGTAAATGCTTTCAAGTTTATTATTTCATGCAATTAAGCCGTATTTTCTTCATTTATACGTTTTCTGCTATAAATTAAGGATCGCCATGTGTCAGTTCATAAGCAGAATTTCCCTATGAGTTCCCAGGCACAGTCAGAAAGTTATTAGTAAAAGTTTTAGTACACAGCAACTTGTTCAAAAGAACTGGATGGAATCCTGGTTCTGTTGAAATATACAGCAAAATTCTCACAGACGTCAGCAGGCCTGTAATTTCATCTGTGAACCATATTTACTAGGAAAATATTATGATGAGCCATGGGCTCATGCACTTCACAGAAAACATGAAGACTAATCTGACAAAGACCTAAAAAAAATACATATGTTTGGTGGGCTTCAAATATCAGCCAAAGAAAGAGGCAAAACACAACCATTTGACTACTGAGAAAATTGAAGTGGTTTGTGTCTCAAAGGATCGGAATAATTTTATGCCTGGCTTATTATATATGAATTACAGAAATAGTCTTATGTAATGTTTTCATAGTTTTCAAGGATCTGTATTTTTAAATACACAAAAAGGCATGGCAATGGCAGCTCCCAGAGAAACTTTTTTTTCTTTTCCCTGAGATCAAGACAGCAAAACTATCACCTCTGGTAGAATCTGAGTACATTGACATTTCGGCTAATTTCTTCTTGCAAGTCATGGAGATGCCTTTTCTTGAGAAACGTCATGAGTGGCGGCAGCAATACAAAAAAGAAAAAAAAAAAAAAAGGGAAAAAAAAAAAAAGAACTTTGAAACTCCCCTTTCCGGAGGCATTGCTCTGTAGGACGTTCTAGGGATCACACGGAAGGCGAACATCATGGTGGGCATGGCTGGTAGCAAACCCGAAATACCCTCTCCTGCTGACACCCGTGAAGCCTGACAGCTCCGCTCACCAGAGCGAAGCTCCCTCCAGACGGATTTGCTCGCGGAGCCCTGGGCCCACCAGGACTGCTCTCCTGCGCACAGCCACGCGTGCTGAAAGGAGAAAGTCTTCAGGAGAAGCTACACGTTTCTGGGTGACATCGCCGAAAGGAAAACTGAATGCTTTAGCACAGACTGAGCCCGAATCCGAAAGAGCAGCAGGAAACTACGGGCACTGGCCCCCTTTAAATTCGACATGAAAGTCTCCACGCCCGCTAGCCGATCACTCCGGAGTTCCCGCACGGTGAGGACGGGCAGGAGACGAGCGGCTGCTCTCCCTCTCCCTGGGCTGGGCTCAGAGCGGCTGCGGCGGGGGGTTCCTGGCGCTCCATCCTAACAGCTCCGTGCCTCTCACCAAAGGGATGACTAAACCCCTTCCAGCTGGCAGGCGAGCCAGACGCACGTTGGTGTCTCTTCAGAAAGGGGTCTCCCCAGCACTGGGTCTCAGTCCCGATGAGCCAAACGGGCTTCACTCGCGAGACTTTCACTGAGAGGAGCCACGAGCGGGACACCAGGTGAGAAGCCGTTGCAGACAGCCAAGACGGCTCAGGACAGCGGTTCGCCGCCGCAGCCCCGCACCGGACAGAATGGCCCCGCCCGGGACTGGACGGTGCCGCGGCACCGCCCAACCCGCCTAGGTAAGACGGGCTGTCACTGAGCGCAGCGTGGACACGCCGTCGGAGGGGAGAAGCCTTCTGCTCGGTTTGGCATCCTCATCTCAGCCGGGAGCGGCTCAGCCCGGCTCCCGGCGGTCGCGGACGCTTCTCGAGGCAGCTGGAGACACCACCCGGGTCTCCACCCGGGAGGCGGCCGCCGTCTGGGCTTACCCAGCGGAGGACGAGCTCCGTGGCGGTGACTCCCGAGCCGTCGGAGGATGGCATTAAAACGGACAGGGCGAGTGAGCAAACCGCCCTCCCGAAGGGAAAAGCCCAGCGCCAGGTCAGCCCGGGGCCGAGAAGAGCGGGTCAGCACCATGCCGGCGCACTGCGGGGAGGGCTCCGGCCGCTCTGGCCAGGCCGAGGTGAGCCTGAGGCCTGTCCGTACGGGGAGGGGGAGCGGTGGCTGACGGATGCCCAGGGCCGTCTGCGCGGCAAAACGCTTCTGGCTCCGAGTCAGGTGGGAGGGCAGGGTGGGGAGGTAGCGGTGGGAAAGGCAGAGAGGTGCCGAGGGCAGCGGCGGGGCCGCGGTCCGTCCTGCCCGACGGCGCCCCAGGACGCGCAGCGCTCGCGCGCCGCGGGTGCAGACCCTTCTTCGGTGCAGACCCTTCGCGACCCGTCGCCCGACCCCACCGGCACACACGCAGTCCCCCGGGCGGCACAGCCACCGCGGGGAGCTCCTGTAGGCCCAGGGCACGCCGTCCGGGAGGACCCGAGGTTTGCAAAGGCGGCCGGGGCAGAGCCGGGGGCTGAGAGGTCTCGTGGAGGCAGCCCGGCAGGACGGGGCGGGAGGCGCCGGTGCCGGCACATGGGGATCTGCCCCCGCCCCGCTCCGCGAAGAGGCCGGGCCGGGATTTTGCCGTGTGTCGGATGGGCGCCGAATCCAATTTGTCGGGAGTGATGCTGTAGGCGGAGATGAGAGGCAGAGCTAACAGGGCTTTTGCAATCCCTGTGCTTGTCAGGGGACAGGGATGTAACGGCGCCCTAATCCCCAGAACTGCAGCGGAAATGTTGGTGTCCGCCTCGCTGCCGCGGACGGGAGGGACGGGTATCACCCTCTGCAAAGCCGAGGGACCCAGAGTTTTGCTAGACACCGACGACCGACCCCTCTCCGAAGGCAGGGTAGATTAGAATTCTGCCTCCCACAGAGACCGGCCGAACTCCGCAGCTGCCTGCCTCGTTTGCGGCCCCGATTGCTCCCCCGCTGTGAGTGCGCGCAGCGCAGCGCGTCCCAGCTCACCTGCGCGGCGGCGGAGGCTCCGCGGCGGGGCCCGGCTCGGCGGCGGCGGATCCTCAGCGGGGTCCGGGGTTCTGTGGGGCTCTGCCCGGCGGCTCACTAGGCGGAGCGGGTGGCGTGGGAGCCCGGAGCTGCCTGGGAGTCCATAGAGAGAGAGTCTCGGATCCTGCCTACAAATTGCAGCAGCGCCGAGCTGTCTCCCATTTAAATGTCTGCCAGCTGAGATCTGCTCTCCAAGCCCCTCCAGATCATTGGACAAGCGCCTCCAAAGCCCGTGTTATCCGCCCCCTTTAACACTTCCATAAACCTCCACCAGGGAAAGCTTTCAGTCATCTAGATAAACATTCGACTGCTTTACTCTCTTAAGAGAATCGGTGCTAAAGGTCACCACCCCGAGGAATTGTTCCTGGAATGCAAAGAAAATTCACATTTTCCATCCCCATTAAAGTATGACATCCAAGAAGAGTTAAATCCCCCCCCCCCCCCCTCCAGCCCCCCACCTCTGCTGCCCTTCTGGGCGCGCTGCCGGGCCGGGGCTGAGCTGCTGGGAGCTTTCCTGCCCGAGAGCCGGCCAGGCGAGCTGTGCTGCCGTTGGGAGCCCTTCACCGGCCAGCCGGGGCCAGGAGGGAGGCAGCCAGCTCTCCGACCGTCCCTGGTACAAATTTGCATTGAGGAGCTTTGCCTTCTGCAGATATGACCGGAGTTACGTATCTTTGGCAAAATCCCCCACAAACCTGTGTGTACGTGTGTGCGCGGGGATGTGTGGAGGGTGGTGTCAAGCCGTGGCTCCCGGTCAGCAGCCGCGCTCATAGCTCTGCATCAGTGAGAGGGTTTTATTTATTTATATTATTTTTATTTATTTATTTTTGTCCCGCAAGAGGCGGGACACCTTGGGTGGCTTTTTCCCCTCCCGTCCCTGCGTATCTCCGAGGGCTCGGGCTCCTCAGGCATCCCGCGGTGGGCCGGACGGAGAGAGGGGCACGTCCCGCTTTGGGCTGAAAGCGGCTGCGGCCGGAGCCGTCCGACCGTCGAGGTGGCGGCGGGGGCAGCTCAGCGCCGCTTCGCAGCCCCTGGGGAAGGCGGCCGCTGTTCCCGGGTCAGCTTCCCCAGGGATCCCAGGGAATTAGGCAAAGACCGGCGGCGATTGAGCGTCGTTGCGTACCAAGCTCTTTGCAGCCGCGAGCGGCGGCCGCCTCTCCTCTCTGCACTGCGGTTGGCCGAAGCTTACCCGGAGTCTGCAGGGTGAGGGGCACCGCGGGCAGAGGCCCCGGGGTGAGTGGCACTCGCAACACCTCTGTACCACCCACCCGCTCCGGCACCGGGGTTTGTCTTCCACGAGCTTTACCACGGAGGGCGGCAGCGCTACCGAGAGTCGCTACTAACGGGAGCAGCCTCTGAACTACGGGTTGACCTTCAGGCCTGCTAATTAAACGGAGCCGTTTGTCAGCTGCCGCTTCCAGCGGTGGGCATCAGCCCCCGCGGAGCAGAGCGAGGCAAAGCGGCGGTTCCTGCCGCTTTGCTGCAAGCAAACCTCGCCCTACCGCCCGGCAGAAATTGCTGCGGGAGACGGCAGCCAGCCCTGCACCTCCGCATCCCAGCACCGACAGCAACCTGGGCCTTGAGGGGCCCGATCTCACCTGACAAATAGGGATTTTTATTGTCCCTGGTTTTGCAGATAGGAAGATGAATTCAAACGAAAGTATCTGCTACATTAGGGGTAGCAGGGGTAGGCAAGATGCCAGGTTTCTGACTTGTCACAGTATTTAGCAGAAACTTGTACTTTGCTAGGGCCAGAGCATGGCTCCACGTGGTGCCAGTTACGTAGGTGAGTGCTCAGCAAGGTAGTAAATCAGGTCCGTTGCTGAAACTCTCATACACATTTAGCGATAGCTTGTTAAAAAACAATCTCTTCAATCACAGGGCAAACAACCATAGTGCAGTGGTAGGTGGCAGCATGAGAGAGAAAATGCATTCATGTGCAGGGGCCACTGAAATTCAAATAGAGTGAAGGAGTGAAGGATTACTTGCAACGAATCACAGCAAATGGCATCTAGATGGGTGGAAGGAGAGGCCTAGGGATTTTTAAAGATTTTTTTTGTTATTTTACTCAAAAACAGTGCTACTAAAATCAGTAGATGTTTTTAATTAACTGGGGTCCTTCCTCTGTGAATCCGAAGAAAAAGTCGCAATTCCCATCTCTCAGTATGTTAAAAGGCTTTATGCTTCTTTTCTTTTTCTTCTGTTAAGTAGCTGCACTAATGCATAGGGAAGAGGTCTATTCACCTCTCTCCTGCCCTTCGAGCCTTCTCTGGCTCTGGTTGCCTGTCCTAGGGCCATCCTGGATGGCTGGGGAGCTGCTCTGCTGCCCCTTCCCCAGCGCCATGGTCCAGTGTTACACGGGTGCTGGAGGAAGTGGTTTCTGTACTTGCCCTGAGCTCCTGTTGATGCCCGATGATGGCACTGACGCTGCATGCACTTCCAGGCATTGCTGCAGGCAAGCTGCCCCTCTGCTGTACTTTTCTGGGATGTAGTTTACGTGCCACTCTGGCATTGACTTTCCTAGATGGTGATTCTTCTGGGCATCTATTGCAGAGCAAATATCTCCACTTATTGCTTTACTGCACTCAAACATCTAGCCAGAGTCCCTGATCTGGAATAGATCTCACTCCAACTTAAAGCAAACTAAGAAACCCTTTAGGAAGCATCTCCTGGACTGGAAGATGTGTTCCCTCCTTAAGATCTGTCTTCATTTCTTGCAGTTGAACGTTCTGCACCATATTTTCCCATCTGTTTTCTTTTACTGAGCTTAATCCACAGAGTGTTTTAAGTAAAGTAGGCACTAGCATCTTGGGTCCAGCACGACAATTTTCCAGATTTCTCTGATGGTTGGAATGTAGGATTATTCCTGTAAGTGTTTGCCGGCTCATTCAGGAAAACAAAGCAGTTGGCTACCAAAAAGGTAAATAATTGTAGCTGTATCTGCTTCCTTGGACTGAATGAAGGTAGAAATAAATAAATAAATTAATTAAAAAAAAGAAAAAGGCTTGTCAAAAAAGAAGAAACATGTCTATTTTTATTTATTTCTTTGTGGTTGTGGAGGTGGGGTAAAAATATCTCTTTCTTCATTGTTCTTTTAACATCAGGTATCCAGAAGATAATTTCCAGCTTGGAAGTTTGTATTCCCTTACCATTAGATTCTTTAACAAAACATTCCCTAATTTTACTCCAAAATTTCAGTAATGCTGATCAGATCCCAGCCATAGACAAGGTTTTGGAATCTTCTTGCTTGCACCTTACTCACACTTGAAATTCTGTTGATGCTTGTCATTGCTGCTAATTGGAGCTGGAATACTGATTGGGGAATTTTGTGTAATTATTTAGTATAAAAGAGGCCTGTGGGAATCTGCATATATTTGTGGCATAGGTTTGAGATTAAGAGCTTCAATGTCATGGGTGGTAGTGGCATGTACTATGAACCTGGCTGGATTTTAACTGCTGCTTGCTATTGTTTCGTTGGCTTTTTAAGTTTCGGGTTTGGTTTTGGTTTTTGGTGTTTGTTGTTTTTGTTTTTTTTTTTTTAATTTCCTCTTCCATTTCTTGCTGGTTTTCACTGTGTGATTTGTTCTTTGTTTTAGTGGAACAGTAAGAATTGTTTTAAGCTTAAAAGGAGTGCTGTACTTAATTCTTGCAGAGAAAAATGTTACTGGGCTGAGCTCCTGTCTGCTACTGCTAACTTTGAGCGCTTCTCAGTATATCCTCGCTGCCAGGACAGTTGGCGCCTTACTAAAAGCCTTTGCAGAGAAGCCAAAGACTGACAGGGGCCAGATCCTCTTCTTGAGTAAATTAGAATAGCTTATAATAACTTCAGGGAAATGTAACTGATTCATGCCATCTTGAGAATCTGGCCCTAATATACCTGGAAATGCAACATCTCTCACTCCTAGACATGTTCCTCCAGGTCAGAAGTAAGGCAAGCTGTCCAGGAGATAGGGCACATCTGAACTGCTTTACTTGGTATTTTGAACTGTTCTGCTAAGGAGAGAAAGGAGCTTAGTTTACAGGGCTGTGAATCTGGCGCTAATTTATGGAGGAAAAACTAACAGGGTACATAAAACTCAGCAGTTGATGACAAAATCGGTAATGTTTTCAGTGCTTTTTGTATGACAGCATCTTGAGAAGTTTCCTTTCTGTTGGAAATATTCAAGAAGAGTAATCTCAAGCCATTTTATTCACATATTTTAAAGCAGAAAATATTAATGTGTGCACTTTACTTACCTCCTTACTTACCTGCCTACCTACCTGTGTGCTTCAACTTCTTGTTAATATAGAGGTACTGATGTTTTGCAGTGATTTTTGCCCTTTAAAATTCTAGAGGTGCTCGTGAAAAACTTGTGAAAATGAGGGAGTGTAGTGTTAAGAATTTGCTTCACCAATACAACCATAACTTTTCTTACCAGGCTTGTAATAAGGCTGGAAGCAAGCACTGACTTCCACTGTAGTCTGCTGCTCACCACCTGCTGTCCTAGGGGATATTCAAAGCTGTACAGCAGAGGTGTGAGGCGATGAAGTTTGCCACAGTTGTTAGCTGGTGCCACAAAAGATGTGTGCGTTGCAGAAATGTTTGGTTTCAGAAATGAATTTTGCAGGACATGCACTCAGAGAAGAGGGATATCTTTGTGTTATGGGGATTGTCAAGCTTCTTGTGGTGTACGCTGCTGATCTTCCTGACTTGATGGGAAGACAAGCAGTATCTGAGAAGTAATTAATGACTTGGAGCATAAGCAAGATCATGCGTAGTGTGTGTTGGATGGACCGGCCCACTGTTACATTCCTGCCCAGGTGTGGGAGCTTCTTTGCTTTACATGGGATAAGAACCCTATGTTTTGCCATAGAAAGAAGTGATACTCAAAGAATCCAGTTTCCTGTGAGTTTTGGATATGTCCAAAAGTAATGGGTAAAATGCCATATGATAAACCAAGTAGGAAAAGAATTTTTCACTTTTTATTTCAAACCTAAGTAGATAGACAGTAATAAATGGCATAAAATGAGGGAAGGAGATGTTGTGGGCTTTGGTTTCAAGATACTCTATTAACATGACAGCCCTATAGTTCTTATTGAAATACTGCACTCTTGATTCTGTTATAGATTATTGTATGAAAAAAAGCCTCACTTAAATAGCTTTGTACTTCATATCATGCAGTATAAAGCAATACCAGAAAAGGCTGAGATTAGTCTGAATTGAGTTAAATTTATCACAAAATCTACTAGAAAATGAAGCTTAAGACTGTGCTTCATATTAAAAAATTCTGTTTAATTAAAGAATTTAAATCTTTCTCTTATTTGAGTTTTAGAATTAATGTCCATGTGATGGA